CATTTTTCGGAGCAACTCTGAAAGCTTATCCGATTCTATTTCGGCAATCTGGACACCCATTGCCTACCTACAATATTGTTGTTGTTCCACCCGTCGCGCTCCTTTTTTCCGAGTTCCATTTGTGCTTGTCACGCACTGTCAAAAACACGCCCGGAATGAAATTTCTATCACGTTCTTTATTCCATCGAGAACATACATCCATTTTAATTTTACCTCGAGCCTTTGATTCTTCTCCCCCTCCCCCCTTTTTTCCTTTTATCTTGTTTCACATTTATTTGTTCAGTTTCGATAGTCGAAATAGGCGCGGCAGCGCAGACGTTGTTCGACATCGAGCAGTGAATTTTTTAAAAGGGACAATAAACGCCACCAGAATCGCGCGGCATTTCGGCCCGATTATTATTTCCGAGCGTTGCGGCACTCATTAGCATTCGCAATTTTCACAAATAACGAAACCTGTCTAACGGTTATCTAACGAAGCTAGCAACGAGCGATCGTTGCGCGCGCGTTATTTGGAGATGAATGCCTACCTGCCTAGGATTTGCAGCACGTATTCTGCGTGTCGACGTACGTAATTTCGTGACAATTTCTCGTTTTCCTCTAGAGTGAGCATCACGATCGATACGACCTCTGTGATAATACGCCTCAATGGTCGCGCTGTATACGAAATTGTCTTGACGACAATGTGGACTATTAAGTCTTATCCGCTTCACATTTTGTCTCAGGTCGTTGGTTCGATCTGTATTTAACGATCACATTTTTCAAGAGATATCCTCGCGAGACTAGATTGTACCAAAGTTCTTCACAAGAGGCACAGGAAAGCCGAAATAATGTACGTTTGAATACTTAGCGTTTACAATACGCCGCTGTAACTTGGCGCGAGATATTGGAAAAGCGAGTGGGGAAAAAAAAGGGCGAATTAAAGTGCAATTTCTGTCATGATAACAGTTTTGTGTCTTACTCGCTCAATTTTGCCGGCCTCGGCCAAGCTGTCGCGACAAAAGGCAATTAACTCTGCTACTTCGCTCCTCGTCGTAGCTGCGCTTTCTCAATTTTCCCCTCGCGGCGACTTCCGTCTAGCCATTTGGGGAACGGCGTCACCATTTAAACTTACTTTTCTTTTACGCGAGCGAGAGCGGACGAGGGGGCACCCGCCCCGGCGAGAGGCGGATATTGGAATCGCGATATTTTCATTCGCAAAAGTTCGAAATTAAGCGAGTATATCCTCCACGGGGGAAAGTCGTCCGTTCGCGCGGCGGCCGCGTTCCGGAAATGACGTGGCGTACGAACTCCCGAATTTTCGGATTAGCGGAATCGTTGCCGTTAATATTCCCGCAAAGCTTGACGTACGTCCGCGTGCACAGCTCATTCGCGTTTAAAACTACGGACGGGCACGTCGCGGCATGTGACGAGGCTTTATACACACCAGAGTGTCACGAAACGTGCTCAGCCTCCTTTTTTTTTACGGGAGACGCAAATGGCCAGCGACACACGCGGTCGTAAAACATTTTTAGTGCGCCAATGAAATCTGTTCTCGCGAAGCAAAAATATTCTGCGACGCAGATAATATTTCGATTTTGCGATAAATCACGACTTAGCTTCTTCCCGCTTTTCGGCGCGGCGCCTAGTCTTTTTTTTTTCAGAAAATACCGAGAGGCGCGCGACCGCCGTGAGATCCATAAAAGATTTCTCGTTTCGGAGATCGGGAAAAAGGGCTGGCAGGGCTCTCTCGCGCTCGCGGCACATAACGGTCATAAATTGCGGTTTATGAGCTACGCTTCGACGTTTCCCCTTTGTTTTTGATTAACGTTTTAAAATGCGCAACCGCGCGCATCGCCGCGCAAATTGCCGTCAGAAAGGATCAACCGGGAAGCCCGCCAAGCAGACCGGGTCAATAAAGTTCGGCATAAAGAACGCGGGCATTGCCGGGGCATGTAAATCCGGCCTGGGAGAGAGAGACAGTCGTGTACTCATTGCCGACACGGCTATACCGTGCCGCATGCCGTTCGTACGTATGTCGTGTGTACGTTTACCCGAACACAATATTTGCGCACCGTCGGTCTTTGAGAAAACAGTACAATAGTCCTCGTTCAAAGCATCGACCGCACGACGTCGTGCCTGCAACGCGAATAAACCCGCCCGCGCGACGCGCAGCTCCCAACTAGAATTAATTCGTCTCCTGCCATAATGACCGTGCGGGCGTGTTGCGCATTATTCATCAGGACCACCGACTCGCTCGATCTAAAATTATTTCAGCCGCTCGTTCTGAATAAAGTGAGCTCAGTTTCGAAAAGACTGCAACTTTCGGATTCCCCCGCTGTCGCGTGGATCACGTTAAAGTTTGACAATAGACTCTTCACAATCAAATGTACCGCTGTTAAAAACTTGCCGACGACAGTTGGACGCCTCGACAATAGGTCCCTCAGTCGCTCAAGTTGTAATCGACACTTCTTTCGTGACGTCTCGAAAACGGTCGAAACACGTGGTGCTTTACAATTTTTTATACCGCGTTGTCTTTAGCCTAAGCGCTGAAATTTATCTTGGTTCTTCCTCACTTGGAAACTTATCCTATTAATCCTCCCGGGGGCCAGAAAGCAATTACTTTTATACCCACTAAACTATACTTTTTCTCGGACGTGAGATCTTAACAAGACACTTTTAACTTTAATTGGAATCATCTGCCATTTATATCTATCGATTCTTTGTTAACGAAATATTCTTTTTACACTCGAGAACGGCGGAATAAAAGAGAAACGGATCGCGCTCTTGTCGCGCGTTTAATTCTAGTATTTATTCTCGAATAAAAGAAAATTAATTTGCTGAAATCTATTAAGCGTAAATAGCTTAATTCAAAAATAATTAACCGAGTTAAACGGCCGTTATTTGACCTGGACACTGAGAAATATCAGGCGGCATTGCGTGCCGTCGTCGGGCGTAAATTCGCGAGCTCGCCTCGCGCGACGTCGGCGTCGTATCCGACGAAAATTCCTGCCTGCTTGTTTTGCGCAGTGTCATTTTACATCACATTAACGGGAAAATAACAGAGGAGAGTAATGAAGAGAACGCCGGCGTGGATTTTCTTGCGATCGTTTTTCTCCGCCGCCTTAATGGAGGACGCCGGGCGCGAGATTATTTGCGAAACAGCCCCGGAGAGCAGGAATCTCGTTATGACGTTTCTCGAGCAACACTTCGTTACTCTCGTGCAGTGGGTCTCGGTCACGTATTTTCATTCACCTTTTATTTAATTATTCCGCTCACCCTCTTCCTCATTTTCCTTCATCCGGTTCTCTTACGGCATAAACCTTTCTTTATCTTTCTCTCTCTCGCACGTTATTCTCCCTTTCGCTCTGCATAAAAGCCGTTTTAAATGTCTCGTATTGATTGGCGAAATTAATCTCGTCGTGCTTGTAGCGAAAATGTAACGAATAGCCACGTCAGTGTTTTCTTGACCATACCTGGCATTTTTAATGATACGGAAAAGTGATTGCGAAAAATATTACTTCAGCCAGGGTTTGAACCTGGACCTCCCTACACTCCAGGCGGGCGTCTCACCAATTCGGCCACTGAGGCACGTGGTAATATTTGTCGCAATAACGGTGTAAAGATGTTGTCCTCGCGTCTACTCTTCGACTTTAAGCAAATCTATCGTTTGCTCATATTTCTGCAGATGTAAATGTAAACCTGTCAGAGTATACGTATACGCGACAATTTCGGCTCGATTAGAAACAAATCGCGGCTCCGCGTTTCGCGCATGAAGAAACTTATCTGTCGGTGCGTGATAACCCGGTCCGCCGGGACTTATTCCCGGTTAAGCGGATTCGCAGGACGACGGAAGCGAAACGCGAGCTTTGCCTCCGCACCGGATTTTGCGCCCTTATCATGTCACGCCTCGTTACTATCTCGCAAAAGTGGATGAGCCGTAATCTCGTGCTGCAAGAAACCGGGACTCGTTTCGTTCCGTTAGTCTCTTTGACGTTGCAGATGTCATTGCGCACGAAGATAATATCGGGATACGCTCCATCTCCGCGGGGGAACTCGCTTATTTCTCCTCGCATTTCCAATGAGATTTGCACCGCACGGCCGTGAGCTTGTGCTAGCCGGCGCAATTTCTGACGTAAATTTATACTACTTATTTAACGAGGCGTATTCGACAGCGACCGTGAAGACAATAAGGGCGAGGCAACACGTTGCGGACACAAGAATCGGGCGCTCTAGACGGTTTTTTTCGCGAAAATTCATTTACGAACTTTAATAAAACTTTAATAACTGTACTGTAAAATTGTTGGAATCGAATTCATAACCGAGGCTTTGAAAATCGTTTCTCCCATTTTCACACCAGTCTCTCTCTCTCTCTCTGCTATTCTCATTGTATTTTACTTCGCCTCATTACGCCGGAAATTCTATACTTACGAGAAAAATGAAATATCTAATTGTGAACGGAATTCTTTTCATACGCTGCACTTCATCATTATATCTGCAGATGATACCGATGCAAAGGTTCATTATGGCATTTTTCTCAGTATAGATATCATTATACCGTGAATCCTTAACATTCTTACCGGCACAACTTTCGCCCTTGTACACCTACATGAATTTCATTAAATCTCTTATTACAAAACAAGAAGGCATAAAGTCGTAATGCAAAAGCGCAAGTATGCGCACTTGTAATAATCCCATTGAAATACATTCCATAAAGAAATAACAGGAATAAAAGGGAAGAATAGAGAGAGAGAGAGATCTCGTTAAAGATTTAGACAGTATAACATATTATACAAATTGTAAGGTATTATTTAAATGAACCGTATTGCAAACGTCTTTATGGAATGAGTTTTAAAAGCTGCAAAAAAAAAATAGACGACGATTTATCTAATGTCGCAACGATCGCGAATGTCCACGAAGAGACATTTGAAAATGGATGAAGGTAGCGCACTAAGCATAGCAAAATCCCTCGTAGGATTAAAAGGGAATTCGTCGTTCACAGCCAGCGCCGTTTGATGTTGCAGGTGCCATCACAGGCGGGGTGAGGCATCGCCTGAGCTGCGGCTCTGCGTCCGCCCTGAGCTACGGGGGCGAGAAGTATGGCAGAAGCGGAAGGTCCGGCGACGGTAGAGCCGGGGGCGGCGGCAGGGAGAAGGAGGATGACACCAAGAGCGCGGAGAACGTGTCCAGGGGGGTTTTACCCTCGAGGCAGAGCCTCTTGGACCTCGTCAGCGGTAAATTCATGGGCCGACACACACCCACTCACCACTACTACTATCAGCAGCAGCAGCAGGTTGGTTACCGCCCGCGCGATCGCGCGATAAAATATTCGTTTCGCCGCCACACACTCGCCGGGAAAACGTCCCGGGGAGGACACTTCGCACGTGAATTCGCCGGCATTGAACGTCTCGACGTTGCCCGTCAAATATTCCTTCCCCGCAATCTGATTTTTAGCGCTTTTCTCAAATCTATACCGCGAGGCTGAGTAAAGTGAATCCCTCTTAATTATGGAATCTTCTTACGAGCTTCTAGAAATTCTCACAAAGTTGTCAAGACTGAAATTCACTGATAAATTTTATACGCGCGCGCAAAGGTATTATGCCATTTGGAGAAAATTTCTTGAAAAATATGATTGCTGCGAATAAATTTACATTGTTATTACATTCGACATTGCGCGGGAGAAATAAAGGGAATGAGAGCGAATAAGGAACAGTAGGAAATTAAGGGAAAATAGAGGGAAAGTTTCTCCAGCTAGGCGCTTTTAACTATAATTAAACGTTTCAATAGGGTTACAGCATTGAAATAGCCGGCATTATATTTACTTTTATAAAAAGCGTCATGCACGCATCTCCGAGTTTGCCACAGACAGGCGCGTTTAATATTAAACTATTCGACGCGAAAAAAAATTTTTTTTTTCAACAACAATTCCACGAGTGGGATAACAACGTTCGCAGTATCCGCGTTTCATTATGCGCGACAACCGCACAACGAGCCGTACCTTAATGGTTCGAACATTGCGCGAATAAACCGATATGGAAAATATGTGCCACGAGGATCTCCGGGAGATGAAAAATAACCAGAATGGTCTACACTGCCCGCGCGTGTAGACAGCGATTAAGCAAAATACGATGAGTACAGTAAACAGGTCGATCGCGGCCGCGGAAAGCACGGCGCGAGCTTCGGTGAAATTATAGTTTCTAAAATATTAATCGCGTCGACGATCAATTTTTCTCAATAAATAAAAGTGGCCGATGGTCATTTGCGCCGTGGCGTTTCGTACAATTTACAGCACATTCGCACTGTTGATTTGTAAACATGTGACATTTACAAGTGTTACAATGTGCCTTTGCATCGCCGACTTGCCCGTGGACAAAAGCCCGCGTTGTCATTGCACGTAAGTTCCAGTCCGCTACAGATGATTTAAGCGCTAAGCTCTACGAAATGGGGCAATCACGGTCGAAAATGAGAAGAATACACGACTGCGATTGGTCAATTTCTCAGGACTTAGGGCTTAGATCGTCATATTGTGGGCTGGGGCTAAAGTAAGGGTCGCCTCGTGACACTCGACGCCTAATTGGTGTAGGTGTATTCTGTGTCGCAGCGATACTTCAGCTCGTCACGGGACTCGCTTCAGGGGGGATACGTGAATCGGGGGGCGAGCGAGCTCGATCTGAGCCGCAAGCCGAGAAGAAGGGACCACCTAAGGGGCAGATTCAAGCTACCATATACAGTTGCGCTCACGTCCTCGCGTGACCAATCGCACCTTCACACACCGGCGTCAGTCAATCATCTCAGCAACAGTAGCTGCAACGGCACTGAAACGTGAGTACTTGGATTGGCGAGCAATCGCGGGCGACCGATTTCAATTATCGTCGGGTATCAAGTTTCGCTACGTTATCCACGAGAGCCATTCTTTTCCATACTTCGATATCGAGAAGAACGGGATATTTGCGGAAAAATTCAATTTGATGCTAATTTCCCTCCCCGCGGGAGGTCAAATCCGCGATGAAAGTTCAGGAAAATGAATATAACGAAGAAATCTGTAGTGAAGGGTCATAAATATTCAAGTGACTTCTCGGAGGCTTACTTAATACCGTGGCGGCGTTTCTTGCATTCCTAAAGATCGCTTAATTGTGCCAGGAGCTTCTTTAAACAGAAATATCTTGGCGGAATTGTCGGGAGCAAAATTGCGGAAAATCTTTCTGTAAGCAGAGTGGAAAAGCGCTTTTGTTCAATTCGGTAAAGCCGGCGCGCACAAAATTGCACGGGCTTTTTTCCCGGTTACCGCGAGCACTCGATACTTTCGACATTGTAATTTTTCAACATCGATACGAGTCCCCGCGCACGGTGCGAACGGAAAAAAAGAACGGACAGCCGTGTCGCGGAACGCGTCCAGGGACGAAAGTAATTAATCAGCGCGCGTTCGCGCTGAATTACTGTCTCAGGAGGTACACGGCGCAACAACAGCAACAGCAACGCGGTAGTAGAGGCTTTCCCGGGCAACCTGGATCGAGGGGTTTTCGCACGGGTGCGCCAAATTGGTCCTTCATCTTCGATCCTGCGGGACGTCTTTGTTACTATTGGTCGATGGTGGTTTCTCTTGCCTTTCTTTACAATTTCTGGGTGATCATCTATAGGTTTGCCTTCCAGGAGATCAACGGTTAGTCCGCAATGCGCTTACGACTTGCTCCGAATTTCATTAAACGCGTTCGTAGGGGCGTTTTATGCGGGGGACATGTCCTAAGATATGTCTCTCTCGCTCTCTCTCTCTCTTCTAAAGTTTGTAAATTGAGCGTTTGAATCGAAGGTACGCCGGTCTACTTTCCTCGGGCATTTATTAAATCGTGAAACTGTAAGAGAATCTAGCTTTTATGTTGATTATATTACATGAGCGAAATTGATATTCAAATGAATTTTAACAAATATAAGACTTTTAATAAGATTATAGGATTCACATATGAATTAAAACGCTCCTATGAGCACGAGAAAATTATTCAATTACGCCATGCTATGTATTCTTTGATTTAACCATGTGAAAACGTTCCAAAATGAATTGCTTTTAATGACATTTCATATTCAAAGATTTTGAGGAATTTTATCAAACGAATTAGATTTTTGTTAAAACGATCATAACTGTAATGTTTATTTTAATTGAATATCAAAGCGAGCAATAGCTCTACAATTTATAAAACAATACGCGAATTAAAACACACATATGAATTAAATAGAAAATAAAAGTATCGTTGTGAAATATTTTGCATACGCGGGCCATTGTAGAAGCTACTTTTTCCCGATCACGAATACAAAAAGCCAGGTTAAATATAATGGCGGTCAATACGGAGGCATCAATAGCTTTCGACCGATAACCCCATTATAACTGATTGAAAACGAAAAGATTTTAACGAATTCGGGAACGTACAAAAATTCATGCATAAAAATAGGAATGTTTCAATAGCAGATTTTAACTTAGAAAAAAAAAAGAAAGAACAAAAGAGCGTTAAGGATTAATCAATACTAATACGTATGTTGCGCCATATTGAAATGGGAATTGTTTTGCTTGCGAGTGCAGGAGAAACTCGTTGGGTGTGGTTCTGCCTGGACTACTTCTCGGATTTTTTATACGTGCTCGACATAGTATTTCACATTCGAACGGGATACTTGGAAGACGGCGTGCTGCAAACCGACGCCACGAAATTGAGAAATCATTATACGAACAGCACCACGTTTTACATAGACATCCTGTGCCTGCTGCCCCTCGACTTTTTATACTTATCTATAGGATTTAACAGTATGCTGCGAAGTTTTAGACTCGTAAAAATTTACCGGTAATTGTCACTCTTCTTTCACTATCTCTTTTTTATACGATTATACTCCTATTGATTAGTTCAATTGAACCATGAATTTACATGCCAAATCTTATGATAATATTACCTTGTGCAATATTTTATTCGTCGTACTTATTAATGTGATGCCATATGTTGTTATAAAAGTGTAAAGATCGTCAATTCAGTGCATGATGCATGATATGTAAAAGGAATTTTTGGCGCGCGGCATCAAGTGGAGCGATACTTTTTGGCAAATTTTTCGTACCTATATCGCGCGGAATCCAAAAGCGAGCTCGTGAAAATTTCATTTCGATGATTCGGACGTGTACACCGAGCCGAGGACTAAAGTCACTGCCGCGATTTTCCTTTCTCGTTTCGACTACCGTGATCGACTTCGAATGTGCAAGTGTAAAAGTTTGGGTTTCTCCTCGTGGAACGCCATTAAATGCGACTTACTCTGGGGTAAAGCGAGATTGAAAAAGATTGCGAAAGTTCGCGTGTAGTGTCATAGTAACGCAATGCTGATCTTTCGCGCGCGAACGTTTGCACATTCCGGTGCAAACGCGAGCATTCCAGGTTTACAAGAAAAAAAAATATATATATATAAACGTGGAACGAACGGGTTGGCTCGTGCTGTACCTCGGTATTATCCTTTATTAGAAGCAACGCGCGCAAGAGAAGCGCAACTTCTCCCGTGCTTATCGTCGGCAGACAATGCCAATTTGATTTTGCCACGACGTGGCACCGATTTATTTGTAACTAAATGTTCGTATCTTACCTACACCTAACGTTGACATAGTGAACGCGACATACGTATTAAGCAAACGGAACTCGGAATCAGTGACCACATTTCGTGACAAATGGGGGACATTGAGAACACGGGACCATAACGTAGACATGTTTACGAGGAATGACGGTAAGAGGGGTCGGAATTAAAGGGACGACAAACGTAATAACACATTCTACCTAACGTTGTCAGCAATTTCGCTAAGTATCGTCGTTATCTCACCGCGGAAGTAACAGTCGGTAGGCTCCTTCAAATTGCGACAAAGTTAAAAATAAAAATGAGAAACTTGTTCCCATATTTTTCTCCGTCGACGTACCGCGCGGTTCATACCGTAAATTATTGATCGCAATCGTTTCAATCACGGCGGCGCCACGCTGCGCCATAAATCGCCGAATTGCACGGACGGCGGAATCGCGCCGCGCACTCGTAAATAATAATTGAAAAAAAGGAGACAGGAGCATATTTTAACCTGTTGAAGGCACGAGCCTCCCCCGTCGTACACCGCGCGATGATTAAAAACACGGTTCGTCCCGCACGTTCGTTGAACGTGCACGCGCTCCACGTGATTGCCGCCGCCGAATATCCTAAGAGGAATTTCGAAATTTATCGCTTCGCGACCGCCGGAATTTCCGCCAATTTTCTCGACCCGCTTTCTCCATCTCTGACGTAGGTTCTGGGCGTTCATGGACAGGACCGAGCGACACACGAACTACCCGAATCTGTTTCGCTCCACCTCCTTGATACATTATTTACTAGTGATCTTTCACTGGAACGGGTGCCTCTATCACATTATTTATAAGAACAACGGCTTCGGCAGTAAGAACTGGGTGTTCAGCGACTCCGAGACGGCGGACGTTGTCAAGCAATATCTGCAGAGCTACTACTGGTGCACTCTTGCCCTAACGACCATCGGTGATCTGCCCAGGTATTTACTTATTTACTTATGCGCCTACGTTATATATGTATACGTGTACGGGCCGCGCAAGAACATTTAGGACTGGTATACCGCTGATGTATTGACCAGACATTTCTCAGCGCTCGAAAGGCATCCATAAAATTCTCTTATTCGCATATGCAAACTCTTATTCGTTTAAGCAAATTTTATTCATGCTACTCCTGCTTTTATACGGCCAGATACATTTGATCTTGTAAATAGCGTACGAAATGAAATATGGAACGCGGTGTATAAGTTGATTCTGGTGAACGTGATACAAGGGAAATTTTGCCGTTTTATCCGCAAAAACGCATTGTGCGACAATTTCAACGATAGCCCCCCTTCGCGACCCGCCGTATCTTAACGTAAAAGCGAGTGTACACTCGCTCTCGCGCAATTGTAACTTGTTAACTACATTTATTCACTGATCAACACGCAATAAAAGCGTATCGATCGTGTACGCGGCGACGAGACTTCGAATAACGATTATTTTATTTTTCTTTTTAATTCCACGTTCATATTTCCAGCGCGGTATTGCCACGGATCCGCTGTCATTAACCACGTATAACATCCCGCGTGGTAATTCCGCGTATTCACGCGATGATGCCCAGCGTGCAGTTTTAAATAAAAAGCGGTGGACAAACCCGTTACCGCTACTGCGCTTGTAATGCCGCATCGCGGCGTTAGACCTCGCGAAATGTATGCGCTCTGATAAAAATCGATGACAATGTGTATGCGAAATATCCAAACCGCCCAAATAAAAGAAAACCGCCGGGCAAACAACTGGATAACCGATAACCAAATTGATAAATTTTTTGCGGTATTTAGATTCTCGCTGCAATGCAGCTTTGGAAATGCATTCATACCGATTGCGCTGCGATTCTCCTTAACGACGTCTGCTTTAATTCTCGTTTATACGCGCAAATCCAGAATTTGTCCATATACTTTTGTTATTTGAAACCCGTAGATTTCGAATTAATAATAAAGACGTTCGCGAGCGCAGGACAAAAACTCGGAGCAATTCCTCCGAGGACTCGACCGAGAACCGTATAATAATCGGGGAAGGAAAAAGTGCAATGCGCGCAGTTGCGAATAAACGAGTCCGGTATTTTTGTTGGCGCACTTAAAATAGAGAAACTCACGCGTAAGCACGAGAAAATACGGAGACATTTCCGCGCCGGACAATGTATTTGGCGAACAAAGAATTTCTCTTCGAAGTCAGTTTTCATTCTCTATTTGGAACGACGACACCGGCGATGAATGATTAATTAACGGGGGATCCGGAAAAGAGTCGTCTCGCTACGCGGCTCGAAGAGAAACGTATTTCCATTCTTTATTCGTGCATATTTAGCAACACGCGCAAGGCTGTTCTCTCGCGGGGAAAAATCGTCCAATTGTCGCGTGAGAACCGTGGAAGCGAAAAACCGCAAGCCGCTCAACGTTAGCCAAGCACTTTAATATCTCGTATATATATTTTTTTTTTCCTTTTATCCTTTCCAGGCCGAGAAGTAAGGGCGAGTATCTCTTTGTGATTGGCCAGCTGTTCTTCGGTCTGCTGCTGTTCGCTACGGTGCTGGGTCACGTCGCAAACATCGTCACTTCCGTCAGCGCGGCGCGGAAGGAGTTTCAGGGTGAGTCGGGTTCAAGTTCCTCGCATGTGTATCTCTTTGCATTAGCTCTCGCCAGTCGTATTTTAACTTTTTATACACCAAACTGAATTCGTTCGACGAAAGCAAAGTAAGACCTGCCGTCGTTCTCTCTTCTCTTTTTTTTTACGTGCAACGAGCGTCGATTTTTATTGCGACGCGTTCGAATCCCCATCGTATTTTATGGAACTTTATTTCGATCCCACCAGTATCGTAAGAAGCGAAAAAGGGACTCACGAAAATATTCATCTCTTGGCTCGTGACTGTAAATAATTCGGCACACGTGATACGTTTTACGACGCGAAATGCGATTTACGATTTCCACTTGACGCGTAAAACGAGTCGCAGGAAAGTCTGCGAAGTTCATATGCTACGTTTGCGCTACGGCAGCAATTAAGTACTCGTCCAAGGTGCGCGAATGAGGTAAATCAGAGCGCAAAGTGTAACTGGCATTAATGAGAGTCTTAATCCGGATTTCACTTCTGAAGTTTACGAATTAACTTGATGCAATGCGCACGGCTAGAAGAAATTATGTGAGTGTAGAGAATACAATAGCAGCGCCGACGTTAAATAAAGATTCGACGCGACAACCGAATCGCTTTAAACTTGTCGAAAATTGCCAATACGAAACATTAAGGCGGGCCGGGACATTTATGCAACTAAATAAGTTTTTATAACAGATTTGTTGTGCCCCCTGAAGCATATAGTAAAATATGATCCCGTCTCTTTTTGCCAAGTCGCTCGAATTACGGCTTGGCGAGCTGCCACGAGGGATCGTTTCCCTCGCCCCTTCGAATCTCCCGAGCGCATTCCATCGCGCATGATAAATAACTGCATTTTCAATTAACGCCGAGCAGGAAATGGACACTTCGTTCTGCGTCCAAGCCCCGTTTTAATTGCACCGCATCGCAGTTTCGCCGCGTCCGCATTTCCGCCCTTACACCTTCGTTATTTCACGACTCACCGAGTCGCTCTCTGCACGCTGCTCTCCGCAAAATGCGCGATTCGATGGTGCGTTCTGGCATAAAAGCGGGCGCACGCCCGGCATAGTCGCGGTCACTTTAATCCGAGAATACCCGCGGACCGAATAATCGCTTGCGCATTTTCGTTTCCTACCTATACCTTTCAATCTGCTGTCAATTCTTATCATTTATCCTGCAAATATGTGTTTTTTTTCTCATTTCTCGTTCGAACACCGTGTATCGGGAGACGTTGCACAAATGCGCTTATCCCTATTTCAATTTCAAAGACGTAACAATTTGATGAAATAACTGTGAGAAACAATTACTGCATTACAACTTTTCATTACTGTAAAATTATTTCGTAAATGTTTACTAAAATCTATTTTTTTTAAATTGCAGTAATCATTTTTCAATGTTAATGTTTTTTATACAAGACAAGAAGTTGCATAAGATGAGACAATTTAGGAATCAATGCAATGATTAAATTTCTGATTGTTGTTTCCTTAATTTATTGATATATTTTTAATCATCATCGTACAATGCAAGGTATTCCACATCTACTTTTTAAAGCTTTAACTGCGTTTCTTTTTTTGGAGATTATTCAGAGTATAAAATGTCAGCATAAAAATGCCACAACTGCGATAATTTTCAAATTGCAAACAATCATTTCCATATCTTCGATCAAATAATCCAATTATTTTCGCGGTAGGGGACGACTTGAAAACCAATTAATTCTTATTCCTTTCTCAGTTTCTATGCCTCAGGAGAAACGGAGAAGCGGAAATAAATATTATTTTACATGGACACTTTTCCAATCATAACGAAGATCTTTTTCAAATAAACGCTAAATGCATTGAGCGATAATAGATACAGTAATTTAAGTTGTAAGAAGTAAAAGATCTACCATGAATTTTCCATAAAACGTAAAATATTTCTTAACGATAACAATTCGGCGGGTGGTCTTTTGTGAGGCTCCGCTGTTCACGCGCTGCGAACACAAGGATATCGTGCTATCATTCGCGTGCTATTTTTCGAGCGAGAAGGTTGTGGAGCGAGCTCTTCCGCGTATCGTCGTTTTACTATTCGAAAAGTAATGGCGACGAGTATAAATGAATTTCAATTAACTCGATATTTAACAATTTGGCATAAAATAATAATAAACTGATTGCGGCACATGTATGTGTTCAGATAAAACAAGGCAGACCGAAATGTTAGGAATAATATGTGATAATAGTACGTCGAAATTAAAGTCCAAGACGGAATATTTGGCGCGCGAGTTTTCTACACCGTTGTAGTTCACGACAATAAAATTCGTTTAATGAACGGCCTAGGCTTTGTGTAAAACACGTTGTTGACGCGCCGCGTACAGTGTACACCAGGATGCCGCGCTATTATTCGCGCGCTGGCTCTCGAGCGAGCTTTTCCGTGTATCGTCGCTTCACTATTCGAAAAGTAATAACGACGAGTACAAATGGATTTTAATTAACGCGATATTTGACAATTTGGCATAAAATAATAATAAATCGATTGCGGCACATGTACGTGTTCAGACGATAAAACAAGGTAGACCGAAATATTAGGAATAATATGTGATAGTACGTCGAAATTAAAGTCCGAGGCGGAATGTTTGGCGCGCGTGTTTTCTAAACCGTTGTAGTTCACTACAATAAAATTCGTTTAATGAACGGCCTAGGCTTTGTGCATAACACATTGTTGACGCGCCGCATAGACAAGGCTGCCGCGCTATTATTCGCGCGCTGGCTCTCGAGAGAGAAGATTGTGCAGCGAGCTCTTCCGTGTATCGTCGTTTCACTATTCGACGAGTATAAATTAATTTTAATTAAATCGATATTTAACAATTTGGCATAAAATAATAACAAATTGATTGAGGCACATGTACACTCGTAAGTATTCAGACGATAAAAGAAGGTAGACCGAAATATTAGATACAACGAAATATTCGACGCACGTGTTTTCTAAACCGTCGTAGTTTACGACAAGAAAATTCGGTTAATGAACGGCCTTGACTTTGTGCATAGCGCGTTGTTGTCATACGCGCCGCGTACACGGGGACCCCGCGCTATCAGTCGCGCGCCAGTTCTCGGGCGAGAAGGTTCTGGGAGCGAGCTCTTCCGCGTGCCGTCGTTTTACTGTCTGACGAGTGATCACACAAGTGTAAATTAATTCTAATTTTCTCCCGCGATGTAACGCGTATCGAAGCAAATACTCGACATATTTTGGACTTTTAGAACGGAAACTGAAATAATGAATAACGCGAGTTTCGCACTTTCTTACAATGATTACTCTTTATTCTACTCATTGTCAGATTTTAATATATTTCGTACATAACAATTCGGGCTTTCCGCAAAGTTAAACGTTAATTTATCCGTCACTATACTGAGAAAAATTTTCATCGGATAAACCAATTAAATAGTATGTCCGATGGTTAATTTTTCCGATTACGTTTTCCGATTAAATTATGGATATATCCGATGAAATTTGATTGAAAAACCGATGAAATTTTTCATCAGATATACAATTTAATCGGATATATCCATTTGTTATCATGTAATTGGATTATCCGATTATATTTAATCGGACATTTTTCTCAGTGTACTGCTCCAGATTGGTAATATAGAGTAACTAACGAATTACCGAATTGGTTCATATCATGTTTTCTTGTTATCTGAATCTATTCTTCAATTTCGATTAATAATATGTCGTGTATTTTGTGAGATGACGCGTTACATATGATTAATGTTGAGAGATTTGCGCGAAGTCTCAACGAAGTTCTCGCGCTGTGTTGCGTTTTAACAGTTAAAGTGATCGTGATTACCATCGAATTTCACTACCATGATCTTCGAAATAATTCTTTTATTGAAACCGTTTTATTCTTCGCGAGATACAAAAATGTTTGGCAGGAAATATTAATAATGAATCGGTTGAGGCACATGTATATATGTGACGCTAAAACGTTAGACATATTGTGTGATAATCGTACGTCGAAATTAATAGCGAATTCGGTTGCTTGCACTAGTGCGCACTGAGTGCGCACTAAGGCTTGTTTACAGTCAATTCTTATATTTCCGAAGCGTCTTAAATATTCTTGAAATATTTCGTAGCCAGTAAAACGATCTGTATAGCATCCATACGGATTGTTTTCTGGCTAAATCGCTTTGAACGTGCATTTAAGACAAAGTTAAGTATAAAAATTGACTGTAAACTGGCCTTGGTGTGCACTCGGTACGCACTAGTGCAAGCAACCGAATTCGCTATTAGATCCAAGACGAAATATTCGGTGCGCGTGTTTTTCTACATCGTCGTAGTTCATCATGACAAAAAAAGGTCGGGTAACTAACGGTTTTAGCTTTTTGTGTATCACGCTGTCGACGCGCCGCGTACACAAGGTCGCCGCGCCGCGTACACAAGGGCACCGTGCTATCATTCGCGCGCCGGCTCTCGGGCGTAAAGGTTGCGGAGCGAGCTTTTCCGTGTGTCGTCTTACTGTTCGTAAAGTGATCGCGGCGAACGAGATTATTCATCACGTCTCCCGAGTAACGGTACGAGGCGATCGTTGTCTATCGAAAGAAATACTCCACGCATTTTAATCTTTCGGAACTTTAATCGGAACAATAGGTAACGCGAGAATTACGTATAAATTACTGTTCCATTACGACAGGTACGGCAATTATTTTTTAGTCTAATATTTTTAACATATTTTACACGTAACAAACTTTCCGCTTTCAACGCTAATTTAAATTCATCCTTTCGAATCGGTAGTCTAGAATAACTAACGAGTTGTTGAATCGATTTACCTCTTCTTGCTGAATCTTGATTTGAATCTCTGCTTTAATTTCGGCCAATGTTCCGTGTATTTTGCGAGATTACGCGTTACGTATGCGATGAACATCGAAAGATACGCGCGAAGTTTCACACGATCGTCGTGTTCTAATAATGACACACGTGTTCGTAATGATTTGGTAATTCAATTTAATTTTCGCAGAAAAAGAGACGTTGTTGTTT